CACAACTGACATTTTTGTCGAGAAGCTATTTCTTTCCTTTTAAATACAGCAAAGTAGCTCCAAATGCTATATTCAGGAAATGAAATACCAAACCAAACGTCGCCCCACGTCATCTTCGTGGAGATAATCACTTGACGAATTTACATGACGCAAGCATGACTCAATTAATTAAACACAATTTTATCTGATGGACAGAATCAAGGGAAAATGTGCAAGTACACACAATTTCAACAACAAAAAACATTTTTAACAGTTATAAAATATCAAAAAACAAACTCAGCGGAGAGAAACAAATGCAGACAAACACTTAAATGAGAGGCAGCATTAAGAGATGAACAAGCGACTTACAGAGTAACGGAACGGAATAAAAGGCGAGCGTGTAAGCGCCCGTGTTATACAAGCAAAATAAAGAAAAAGACGGACACTGCAATTTTTCACAAAGCTCAGCCTTCAATGAAAATGTGTTTAGTCGTACAGTTAATTCATCACTAAATAAAGCCATGTGCAATGCAATTAACGTTTATTTTGCGGGTAAGATCTTTCTATTCATGCAAAAATGCTACATGATTTAAGCGTGTCTGTTTCATGGTTAACCTCAAATACGTTTTTATGCGAAAACGACCGGAAAATGATCTTTCTGACGTGCAGGTGTGTCATTGCAATTTTAACCAGCTTCGCCATTTCTGGCAAGAGGGCCCTTAACTCTTCGCCGCTAGCACCCAAGAACACCTCTACAACATCCTGAAATCTGCTGATTGGTATATTCAATTGCTTCGCAATATCAATATACCGGGTGAAACAAGGAGACGGTAGGCTCTTTAAATCGACCGAAAATTCGGTTTCTTAACCTACCGCGCTACGACTTTGTGCAGCGTTGCCCACAGATGGTGCATTTTTTCGTAAAATTTGCAAAGAGCGAACTTACCTGAGGAAAAAGTAAAGAAAGAAAAAGGCTTAGCTCCTATGGAAACGCAGCGACGCCATCGGTCTTCAAACAACACGGTGCCGTTTCGCACTGGACACAAGAGATGGCGCAACGAACGCCGCAACGAACGAGCATACGGCGCCGAGAGCAGGCCTCTTTAGCAGACGATCTTTTCGACTCAAAAGCGGAGCGCGTTCCGTAGGCGGCGACAGTCGCAGAAACAAAAAAGACAGGCGCGGTAACAGCAAGGAACTCCAGTTCCTTGTCTGCGAAAGGGCCGACTCTCGGCGTCGTCTGCTCGTTCTTTGGCGGCAGTTGGCGTCGCGACCGCTTGCGCCATCTCTTGTCTCCCGTGCGAAGCGGCACCGTTTTGTTTGCAGACCGGAGGCGTCGCTGCGTTTCAATAGAAGCTAAGCCTTTTTCTTTCTTTACTTTTTCCTCAGGTAAGTTCGCTCTTTGCAAATTTTGCAAAAAAAATGCACCATCTGTGGGCAACGCTGCACAAAGTCGTAGCGCGATAGGTTAAGAAACCGAATTTTCCGGTCGATTTAAAGAGCCTGCCGTCTCCTTGTTTCACCCGGTATATATCACGAGCATATTGCATATCACGATACAGCTCAGTGCGTCTAGGCTCAAGATCTGTCCCATAAAACTCACAGAGGTAACTGCTGTTTTGTTCACCTCTTACAATGCTTTTAATGTGAGCCATGTGCTGCCACGTCCAAGGTGGATACCTTCCGTCTAGCGAGGACTGCACCGCGTCAACTACCTCATAGAACCACATTCGATACATGCACTCAAAGGACGGGTGTACATGGCCTGCGCATCCATTACCATATAGGCGCGAAGTCTTTTTTTTTTCTTTGCGTTGGAACAGATGGTTCGTCGACGTCAAGCTCAGCTGCCCCTGCACATATCTCGTTACAAAACAGAGAAAATAATATATTTGGTTCGTCTAAACTCTCCCTAACGGCTGTTATTATTTTCTCTGTTTGGTCAAATCGCAGTGTCGGCTTCTGCAAGTCGGTATTTACAGTTTCTAACCACGAAAATATTAGAAAGAGCAGTTTCAGCTTGCAATATGTTCGGAATCTCGACAGCATTCAAGAATCCGCTCGCCTTTGCACAGCGTCATTCGACTCGTCGTATACTAGGTTGTTGGAAAATACCATCAGCTCTCTATAATTAAGAAGCACAGATCGAAGAGGAGCTGCCTTGATGGTCCACCTTGTGGCGCAACGTTATTACAAATCTATAGTTTCGCCTTCTTGTCGCAGCGCTTGAAACAAACCGACACGCTTTGAGGCGGACGTTACAAAGTTATGAGATCAGTTATCATGCTCAAGAAGTAAAGACACGCATTCATGCTGTGGCTCAAGTCCTGTAACAAAAGATTAAGGACATTCCCCATACAGTGCACGTACAGCGCTCAGGGTTCATTCGGTAGCATGAGCACTTGGAGCCCATTGTGATGGCCCCTCATGTTTTACGGCACCATCGTAATATCGTAACAAGCTCAAACGGCAGGGTGTGTCCTTGAGAATGGCGAAGTGTGTGGTCGCTTTCGTGTCTGCTGAGTTATAAAAAGCCACAAAACAACTCCTGTAACTCGAAGTTATCTTGAACAATTCTAAAGCAAATCGATACCTGCTCTTTGACCGACATATCCGAATCACGTATAATGATGATGAGTTCTAAGGACGACGTGAAGTGTATCAACATCGAAGTGCGGGACAAGACGTCACAGAAGTTTCTTCAGTGCATGTTTATATAATGAAGCTAACTGTCCCTAACCATTTTAGATCTATCAGATGTTTTTACCCAGTTCTTTCGCTATTTGTGGTCTTGCTGAAAACGGAACAATCAAAAAACGTTTTTTTTCTCACTGTGATGATTCCGAACAGGTATGAAAGACAGTTCTACCCTAGATTTCGCCCGGAAGCGAAATCTAGCGTCTCCCGTCGCTCATTTAGTCAAAATAATTGCTCATTCATTACAATGCACGTCAATTGCGAAATAGAAAAGAGTGCCAGACGTAGCTGCTTTGATATCGTGTAAGGCAGATGCTTCTCTCGTCGTAGTTTTAGCAGTTATCCACACGTCTGATGATTTTCATGAAGAAAATATCTCGGATTGCACGCAAACAATTTTTTTCTTTTATGAACCTGACAAGGTGTTTTTATACCTGTCACATGTGCTAATTAAATACTGGATCAAAATCGTATATTGATACAAACTATTCAAATGGTTCCAGATGACACACTTCAGTCATTCTGTGTGCGTTCGTCGTCTGTTACGGGCATCCCGAGACGACTCGAGGACCGGAAATTATTGTCGCAAATATAGTCGGTTCTCGGCAAACGCCTGTCGCGGTAAGTGTGAGATCTAGGCTCCATATATCTATTATTCTTAATCGTTTGAATTCCACGTCTCATTTTTCATCGATCGTACCTTTGGAGCGATATCTAATCACGTGTGTCAGTCCATATCAACGTCCGTAACAACGGTTTGTCTGGGCCAGTGACGTCACCCTTACGGGGTCGATCGCGAGACTGCAATGGGATTAACGTTGGTGATTGACCTTTTGGACAACTTTGTGAAGACAGCGATTCTGATCAGCCGAGCCTGTGAAGAAAGCGACTCTGCTCAGCCAAGTTCAGCGGATTTCGTAAGCAGAGACTACACTGACCATCAATTAGAAGATTTTTTGTGTCTCTGTACCAACACCCAGTTTAATAAAAGAAGCGCGAAAGAGCAACTAGTGCGTACTTTATTGCGTGCGCCTTTCATGTGTGTGAAGGAACGAGACTTGAAACTACAGAAGCCTGGAAAACCTCGAGCCACTGAATATGGCAGCGCTGCCATAGAGAGTGGTTTTAGACACTCTAGGCTCCTGCTGGAAAGAGGGACCAAAAACTGAAGAAAAACCCAGCAACGAAAGAAACCGATGAAATGGAGCCCATTCCATATGACGGCTCACTACTCACCTGCCCCGTCCAAGGCCCAAACAAGTTGGCGCCGCTGATGGTGTACGCGAACTATAGGGGTGCGCTTTTTTAGGTTTCATCATCATCGTTTGTAGCGTAGCAAGTAGGAAGGAGAGCAGACGATGGTACAAATTCCTCGGCTTGTCAGCTCGCTTCATCAATTCCCACCCCTGCCCGTTTCGATGTGGATGAGCATGGTACTGGCGTACGGCCGTGTATCACTACTGCGTGGTGCATGTTAAAGACACCAGGTTAGCGGCAGTACCGCATTGGATAAATTGATCATCAACAGCCGAGAGAAAAGTCGCCCGTTGAGGCAGACCAAGTTCTAGGCTGTATAAACATACACACAACCCAATCTGTTTGCGGCGCCAACACAACAGCGCGCGAGTGCACAGCTCAGGTGGCAGCTCGTCCTACAATTTGGTGAAAACAATACGATTGTTTCTACAGGAGCGTCCACAGATTCAACAAATAAGAGTTAGAGACGCCAAGAACAGCCATGACGTGCGCTGCCGTGACGCACACGGCTGAACTTCTCACGTCAAACTCCAAGCTTGTTTTCGAAAGGATTTTGTCGACCAAAGCGGCTCGTAGGCGCCGTAAGACAACAAACAGAACTCAGAAAAACATCACACGCCATTATTAAAACAATATAAACCGCTATCATTTGGCATAAAAGCAAGCGAGCATAATCACACTGTGGGACCACTTGGCGTGTCGACTGCTATAATCCTATTCGCTACGTCAGAGGATTGCGCCCGCCAGGTGGCGCCACTGAACTATTTCGGCGCCCATTAGAGTGAGATATAATATTTTATACTCTAGTCCACTGAAGATTCACTGCTGCCGCGCCACTTAGCACGACGGATAGAGAGCATTCGCAGCAGCCATGCATGGGCGCCGCCATCACCGCCCTTCAGCTTTTTTTTACTCTTATTCCGTTTGCTTCGCTTCATTATTGCAATAGAAGGCCAGGTTATTGCCATTATAGATTATACTGCGCCCTACCACCCAGCATTAGTATTTGTGGAGGCTCGTCAACGCCCGTTTCAGTGGCTCAGTATATCGGTAAAACAAGAGGTCGGCAATGGCGGATATAATCTGGCGCGTGCGTGAGGCGTGCCAAAGAACAAAGAAGCATGCCAAAGAACGAGTGTCGCGAGCACTTTCAGATCGCGTGTTCTTCATTCGACTCTACGCTTTGGCCAGATGCTTCGCAACATGAAGGCCTCTTCTCTTCTGACCCGAGACCGCACCGCCAGCGCCCCGACTGCCCCATTGGATACAGCGCTTGTTTTCGGACACGGCACTTTCCAACGGCTGGCACTGCTGTGCGCCGCGCTTTCCATCTTCATCGCAGTAAGCAACGGTTTCGCCGCCGTGGTATTCGCACGGCCCGTGGAACACTGGTGCAGACCACCGCCGGAGCTTGCTTTCATGCAGACCGACGTCTGGAAGAACCAGAGTATCCCCGTGGAACCGGACGGCACGTTCAGCAAATGCACCCGCTACGAGCCTCTACTGGACGCGGGAAATGCCACGGAGAACCGGACCGTGGTCTTCTGCGACGAGTGGGACTACGACCTGGCGACCGCGGGGAAGTCCATCGTCAGCGAGTGGAACCTGGTTTGCCACAGACGCCGGCTCCTTTTGCTCCATTCGCTCGTATACTACGGAGGAGCCATCGCCGGGAGCGTGATCGGGTGCTTCGGGGACAGCCTTGGCCGCAAACCTGTCTTCATGGTCGCGCTGTTACTTAAAGTCGCCTCCGGCACGGCCACAATCTTCTCCAACACGGTTCTTACATTTATCATCTTGCGCTTTCTTACATCGGTGGCATCTCTGACGGTTATGAGCATGGGGTCCGTTTTGCTGTTCGAGGTAACAATGACAACACATCGCGTCGTCTTCTGCGCCTTTGCCGCCTCATGCACATCTGCAGCGCTGCCACTGTTCCATTTCCTCTTACTGGCGGTAGGTAAACACTGGAGGGTTGCTCAGACGGTACTTATGGTGCCGACATGCATCCTCCTGTTCGCCTCCTACGCCAATGAAGAGTCTCCGTGTTGGCTGCTGGGATTGGGCGACGTCGAACGCACCGAGCGCGCCGTGATATCGGCTGCCAGGGTCAATGGCTATCCCCTGGACGACGTGCAGGCCAAGATGAATAAGATCAAGTACGAGACATTGCGGAGGGGCAACACGCAAACGAGCGTTCAACAATCGAGCCCCCTTGACCTTGTGCTGAACAGCTCTCTGCGTTTTCGCTCCGTCATCCTTTTTTCCTGTACGCTCATGACGACTCTTCACTACTACGACACCTATTTTGACAAGACCTTAGTAGAAAACCGGACGGGGCACATAACCCTAATGGTTGCGCGGCTACCTGTCTCCGCAGCTTTCTTGTATGTCCTGCACTACATGAGCCGGCGCAAGATACTTTGCATCACCATGTTACACTTGTCGCTTGTGCTGGGCTTTCAGGCTTGGCTAGTTTGGCAAAAGGACAACAGCATCCAGCTCATTGTCACAATTATCATTAAGGGAATTGTTCTGGACATGATTTCAATGGCGATGTTCGTGTATTTGTTAGAGATATTTCCCACCGTGCTACGAGGCACGAGCTTTTCTTTAGGCTGCATGTTCGGTAGGACCGGAGCCGTGCTATTGCTCTTGATCAGGGGGCCCAACCCGCCAATTAATCGAGCTCTCGCCATGGCGGTAAGCGCGGTGATATTTACTCTGATCGGTTTAGCTTTCCTTGCTTTACCCGAAACGCGGAAGGTCATGGCCACCAACACCATTCGCGAGACAGAACTTGAGGACATGTGGCAGGTGCCAGCCAGAGAAGACTTTACGCGTCTCAGATCTTTTTCGTCGCATCCAAATGTTTCTAAGAAATCGTAGACGCAATTTGTTTTATTAAAGCTGCTTTATATGATGGAGCGCTTTATAAAAGAAAAACGTGCAATGTGTCAGTGGCGTCATCTTGTATACGCGTCTCCCCCGAATCCGCAAGTGCACTGCTGATGCATCATACAAAAAACTTGCGCTTCAGACACAATGACAGAAATCCCTGTGTACACGCCTAAAAAATGTTTGAAAAATGTTTTCTTTGTACATATGAATGCTTCGAACACGTCTGTAGCGGGGGTTTCCCTAGGAATTGAAATTAGGGGTTACCTATATCTTTAGGGAAAGGGGGGGGGGGGGGCGGAGGGGTGTTAAAAGAGGAGGGGGGCACTGAGAATAGAGGAGGCGTTGGGAATTAAGGGGTGCCCCCAGAAAAACAAGGGGGAGGGGGCCCTAGGGTGTGCGTAGTGAAATCACTGGTCTGTAGACAGTTTTAATTTGAAAACATTAACTATACCATTGAGCGGAGCCGACAGCATCTTTAACCGCAAAAAAAAATAATAACAAAAATAATGCTCATTCTCCCATTGGGCTGGGCAAAACGACTCATATTGCGAACTCGGCGGTGAATAGCCGGCGAGCCCTTGTTTGTGGCACCGGCGACCAAAAACGCGCCAGCGGAGCACCTTGTGACCCTCTCCGCCCGAACACAAAGCGCAAAAGCAAAGCAAATTGTTGTGTGTATGTTTATACGGCCGGAAGCTAGTCTGCCTCAGTGGGCGTCTGATGTCTCAAATGTAGATGAGCAATTTAGTCAGTGCGGTACAACCGCTAACCTGGGGTTTTATCGTCCACCACGCAGAAGTGATACACGACCGCACACCGGCACGATTCTCATCCAGATCGAAACGGGCAGAGGCGGGGTTTGAATCCAGGATCCCTGGGTTCAGCAGCGCGATTTTTCGCTCCAGGTGCTCCGAGCTGGTGTGCGCTATACTTCGTTTCACCTTATGTGCGAGCGAAGGCAAAGCTGGAAGCGCGAGCACGAAAGCTCCATGCGTTCAGACTTTGCTGGAGCGCGCGAGCTGGGGAGAAACGCAAAAGGCGCTGGTCTCGCGCTTCTAGCTTTGGCTTCGCTCCCAGATAAAGTGAAACGAAGTATAGACCACTCGGCCACCGATCCCCCTAGAGTGCCTTTATACACACGCGCGCCTTTGCTTGAGTGGTGACATCTCAGCCATTTTTCCGCTCAATTGTTTTTCATGCCTTTTGAAGTGCGCGCAATCCGGTGTCACTCAGCTCGAGCGCGTAGCTTTGGGTAATGTATGGACGCCATTTTACCGCCCAAGTTATGCACCGAGTGGGCGAGAGCGTCACGCGCTGGCACGTTCAGTGCAACAATGGATGTCTTCACCCTGAGACAGACATGCAGGCACCCTAGATCCCCCGAACAGAAAGCGCCGGCAACTGGCGTTTTTATTTGCCTGGGTCGCGCGTGAGCTTTGTTAACTACTTCCTCGGTTATTCTATGGTACAATAGGAACGCTGGATGTGCCAACAATATAAAATCTGACTCCTTGAGACATGTGTAAACACAAGCGGCTTTACAATAGTTTTCAAATTATTAATATTACCGCGATTCGCACAGCTTGGAGGATCTTAAATTATAAAGTTAAATGAAAGACAGATTAATAAATCGGTGTGGGACTGTCCGCACACGCGTCAAATTTTTATTACCAGTGTTTGGATTTCCGAGGAACTGTCGCCATAACACAAGGGTCCCATCGTGGCTTGCCAGCGTCGATTTTCATATTCTGTTTATTGTCATTGCCGTTTGTGGAATCCTCAGTTTTCTCATTGCGCCCACCCTCCTTGAAATTGAAATGAGTATTTGAGTATTGAACTGCATCATGCATACATTTTTTTTTCAGCGGCGTAATAACGTATTATTACACAGTCTTAAAACAAACTAATGTATGATGCAGTCCGTGTCTCAGAGAAAACTTACCTTGCGCAAGCTGAAAAAATTCTTCCAAAAATATTGGCTTTCTCTGAAACATAAAATTAGCTTTATCTTTGTTGTTTTCGCTATTTTGTCTCGGAGCACAAATGGGTGTTTGTCTTGATGGCTTCGTTTGCCACTCGAACCCGCTATTCGCCGCTTTCGGCAAGCATTCTTTATGGCGAATTCGCGTGGTCATTTCCCGGCAAAATATTTTGCCCTATCTCCGCCAAGGGCGTTCGTGTGGTCAAAGGCTAGCGAGTGCGCGCCGTTCGGGTGGCAGTTCTCAGGCGTGTGCTGGCAATTTACCGGCACAATTTTTGCCCGAGCTCCAAGAGGTCGGGCAGCTTGTCTGCCAGACTGTATCCGGTATCGTCATATCCGAATCGGGAAAGGGAACCAAACGAAACAGTGGTCGCCGAGAGCGTGTTTGAGTAGAAAACGAAGCCATTGAGACAGACACCCCTCTGTGGTCCGAGAAAGACAGCAAAAACAACGGAGAAAAAGATAAAATATTTTAAAGGAAGCTTCCGCAAGATCAGTTTCCTATGGGACACACCGTGTTATTACACCGCTGTAAAAAATGTATTGATAGTACTGCAGCTCGACACTTGAACGCGCATTACTATTTTAGAGGGCTGGGTCAAATCAAAATGCTGAGGATTCCAGCAAAAAGGTAATAACAAGAAAATGGAATATAAAATGGCGACGCTGGTGAGCCTTCTAGGATCCTTGTAAGATGGCAACAGTTCCTCGAGAATCTAAACAAAATATATTACAATTTGTTTACCCACATCTCAGAGTCCGAATATATGTTGCTGATGCCTAGAGCGTGTCTATTGTATCATAAAATAATCGTGGAAGAAGTTAACGAAGTTCACGCGCGACCCAGGCAGACGAAAACGCCAGTTGCAGGCGCTTTGTGTTCGGGTGGAGAGGGTCACGTGGTGCGCCGCTGGCGCGGTTTTCGTTGCCTGTGCCGCCGGCGTGAGCTCGCCGGCGATTGACCACCCGAATTCGCCATTAGTTTGATTCCCTTTCCCCAATCGGATGTGATGATACCGGATACAGTCTGGGAGACAAGCTACCCGACCTCTTGGAGCTCGGGAAACAAATGTGCTGGTAAATTGCCGCACACGCCTGAGAAGCGCCACCCGAACAGCTTGCACACGCCAGCCTTTGACCACGCGAACGCCCTTGACGAGGATATGGCAAAATATTTTGCCGGGAAATGACCACGCGAATTAGGCAATAGATAGCCGTTGGCGGCCGCTTCACGAGAGCGCGCGCTCAGCCTTGTCTCTCGTCACTCGTGTCAGGCCACAGGCGAACTGGAAGCGCGCGCTCCCTTTCTCTTCTTACGGCCTTTGCAATCGCCCGGGAGTCAATGGCATTTTTTCTCCGCATGTAGTTCACTTGCTTGCCGCCAGGGGCGCAACCACCTTTAACCCCACTTCACCCCACGTTTTTTTTTTTATTCGTACAACAAGCATAGCTTGATTGTTTAGATTAGGTGCGCTATTTGTGCATTCCGTATAAAGCTCAAAAGGTCTCCGGCATGCGCGTTCGCTCTGGTCCATTTGTAGTAGTCCTCAGGGGAGGCCAGGTTGAGGTCTCGTGCCTGAGTCAGGGGAAGGAGGTGGTGCTGAAGATTTGGGCGATTCCAGAGAATCTGTCGGAGGCCAACTGCGGACGGCCTGGCGGAGCAGTAGGGGCACGCCGGGCTCTCATCATCGGGGCCTCGGCCCCAGGTGGCCAAGACTGCTGGGGTGACTGCGGAGTCCGTCCGAATCCTTGCGAGGAGGACCTCCTTCCGCCGGGGCAGGCCCGCCGGGAGGGGATATGGGCACGCGGGAAGGGGTGCACGCGTAGCGACCCTTATGCGGGCCTTGCCCACGACGAGTGAGGCCTCCGGCTCATTCGGAGTGGGGGCGGGATCAGGGAAGGGGGATGTTCAATCAGGGCTCGAGCGATTTGTTGGGCTTTGTCCTGGTGAGTACCGTGCTGGTGCCCAGGGGTCCAAAGAATCCGGACTTCTTTAGCAGATGTGCGATTTAGGGCATGAATCTCATGGCAGATATGTAGCAAAGGTCGCGTTGACTTGAGATGTCGGATGGCAGAGGCACAATCCGTGTGAACGCGTACTCGAGTGACATCGGGCATCCGCGTTAGTGCTTGTATGGCGTCTCGAATTGCGTATAACTCTGCAATAAGCGGATCGTCCAACTGTGTGGCGTAGAACGCCGATGTGTCAATGGAAGGCTGAGATGGACAATGCACTGCGGTAGCGATGCCATGCTGGCACGTTGCTCCGTCGGTGTAGACATCTACGCCAACTCATCCGAGCTCGGGGCCGCGACCTGGTGTACTCGTGGTGGCGCGGAGCCGGACGGATGCGTGCGGACGGTAGCAGGCTTGTTGGTAGTAATTGTAGTGTAGCACCATGGTGGCGGTGGAGCCCCAACGTACGGAGAGCAGCGGGGAGGTTCCTCGTGCAAAGGAGTAATGGTATGTTTCAGGTTGCGAGCTTCTCTTCGTTGATTGACAAGTTGTTCAATAGTGTTTAGTTGCGCATACTCGTACGGGTGCCAGGTAGGGGTATGTAAAGGGAGACCAGTCATGCCGCTAATTGCGTCCCTATTGATGATTTCAATAGTCTTCCACTGAGATACAGTGAGACGCTGGAACTGAGCTTGGTATATCAATCGAGGTTGAAGGACGCGTTTAACCAGACGTTGGGCTACCTCAATCCCCGCTCCGCCACATCGTTTCGAGATGCGTCGGATGAGGTGTGTTGTAGTCGCTGCCGTCTTGCGTGCCGCTTGAAGCCACTGCTTGGCTGTGCCGGACTGGTGGATGAGGAGTCCCGAGATCTTGGTTTGTGTAACCATCGGAAGCTGTGTCGACCTTATTCTGAGGGGCATGGGAGTCAATGGCAGTTTCTTCCGGGCAGCGTTGTTGCACACATGAAGGAATTGCGATTTCTCGGGAGACATTGTTAGGCTAAAGGTCGTTGTATGGCTATCTAGTTTATTCAGCCCGGCCTGTAAGGCATTTTGTTGCACCTCTAGGAATGGGTGAACTGAACACATTGTGACGTCATCAGCGTAAATGA